CGCTCAAAACATCTGCTGATTCCATGAAGCTATGCTATGATAAGAGATCTACTGAAGTCAGCTTTGTACCCAGAGACAAGATGTGGTTGTATAATCCCAGAAAGACCAAAGGGAAGTCTCCTCCATGGGAGGCCCATATGACATAGTGGATCGTCTCTCAGATGTGACTTTCTGAATAAAATGTGGTCGGCGAGGTAAGCCAAAGGTGGCGCATGCCAACAGGCTTTGGTGTTATCATGGCTCAGGACATTTCAGTTGGAACGAAGTAAACAATGGAACAAATGATCTTGCTGAAGACATGTCACCTGAAAAAGTCACTATTGAAGAAGAAACTACCCGGTTTTAAGATAGAAAACAGTGAAACCATTAATGAAGTTACTACCACTGATGTGACCGATAATGGGACATTTCGTGATAGAGCAGATGAACCCCACGTGAAGCAGAAGCCAACGAGACAGAGACCAGTACGGAAGAAGATGCATCCTGTAAAATTAAGAGACTTTGTTGTATTCTAATTTTGTGTTTGTAAATTATGCACATTTAATTGAGTTATTGTTAATTATCTATTGATTAAATGTAAATGGCTATTGTTCTGGAAGTATAATACTAAGGAAGGGGAAGTGTTACGACAGCGGAAGTCACGCGACGCTGGGAGCATGCGCGCTGGAGTTTCTCGAAAGATCATGAAATTGCCCGCCAGCTCGAATGTGATCTAGATACCCTCTGCCAAGAAAGCCAGCAGCAGATAGATAATTGAGTCAAGCGAACAGCAGGCACTGTAAATAAAGTGTAAAGTTTTAGCATTATAAGCCTTCAGACTTTCTACTGAGCCACTGAGAGGCTACTCATGGTTCATATGTAGTGATAGATAGAGCACATATGTCCCACTGTGTAGCTTTGTGCTTAACAACAACAAAAATTGTAATGCTTATGTGTTTTGCTACAGATACTGAAACTGAATAGCTTCCACATGCAACAATAAAAAGTTGAGCATTTTAAAGGGTGGTCCTCTTTTATCAGGAACATGTTTTACTTCAAATGAAGCATGGATCACACTTTTGGAGAGTACAGATGTTTTGGTTTGCTGTTATTTTCATTGATCTCTAGTGATGTCATACACATACATGAATAATCTTTACATGTTGTTGCTAGATAGGCTTATGATGTTTTTCCCTTACCATCACAGTTGAATATGATAGTTATAATGGTGAAAATTTACATGTTTAATTATCATTACTAGCTAGAATCTGGTACATGTACAGCCTTCTGTAAATCAACTTCTGGGTCCTGAGTAGTAGCAAAAGATATGGATGTTTAACAAAACCTAAATTTGTAGCTACTGCAAAAAGAGTGCTTCTAAGTATAAAATTAAAATAAAACAAACAGTTATCTAAGAATTGACCAAGAAAACAAATCATACAATGTACTCATTAACATCTTTGTTCTATAGTTATTTTTTGTGTTTAACTTAAAGTTGGGCATAAAACAGACTTAGAACAGCCCACTATCAGTAGAAACCAATGTTCCATGATTTTAATTCATGACTTAACATTACCTTACATTCCATTGAACTGGTATTAATAGCAAATAAATTAAGTAGATAAGCTGTTTATCTTAACAAATTGTTATCATTATTTACAACGTTATTCCACAAAAAAAGTTATTCCCAATAATTATCCTTTGTTCTTATCTAACATAGTAGCACATAACATCTATTCAGGCTTACCAGAATCTTGTTTCAGTAAATATGAGTTATTGCAATGCTAAAAGCTGTTATAAATACACATTGGTTTAATAAACGATTGAATTTGCTCCTCCTAGTTGACACTAGTCAAGTAAGACTTACATTAAAATATAAAAAGCAGACTACACTCAAATCATATGCAGACAATGGCTCACAAACCTCTGTACACTTTTGCATTAAGCATTCTCTCAGTTAATTGCAAAAACGGATGGCTAATAGAAGACATTTTTATATTGTCTCTGAATGCCCATACAGTCTACTCCAGTGTTTCTCAGCCAGATGACCCCCACAACTGGACTTTGATTGTCACAACCCCCCCCCATTATAGTTCATAACAAAGGTGATATGTGCATCTCATGATCACCCTGGAAACTCACTGTTTGAGAAACACTGACCTAATCAGTGCTTCATATTTTACCATCAGAGACGC